CAAAAAATTAAAAACACAACCTCAAATTTTTTGCCTCTTAGGTACCTTTCCTCAGAGCGTGACACATATTGTATTAATTATTATAATAATTAATATCACAATTACTTTAATATGAATATTATTTACACTTTCCAACGGACAATTAATTAATTTCATAATTAGTAGAAGAGAACGGGGCGAGGCAGCCAAGACGGCACATTTTGGCTAAAAAATCGCCATAGAACATTTTGACGTAGGTTGCACTTAAAAATTTCTACAACCCTTTTTCCAAAGGACCACATTTTGGAATATTTGCAAAAACGTAGGGTGAGGCGGCCAACTATTTTAATAGTTAAAAAAACATAACTTAAAGTTAAAATTAGTGAAACATAACAAGGTAGTTGTCCTTAACTTACTTTTATTTTGTTAGTAAACTTCAAAAATTTACATTTGAATAATATTATAATAATGACATTAATTAAATTTAATTTAACATTTTAAGGAAATATAAATTTGTTATTCTTAAAAAATGGTTTATAAAATTCAATGTTAAGTTTAAAATGTATTGGAGTTGGAAAAAAAGAGAAAACAATTAGAAGAATCAATAAAATCAACACAAAAAGACGAAAAATTTATCGTTGGCTGCCTAACCCCACGAGTACTTTTTTAAGAAAACATTTACAAAACCCGTAATATTAAAAATATCGCAATTCCATTAACACCATCGTCTTCAGCACTAAATTCTGCATTGAAAAAAAAAAAAAAAAAAAAAAAAAAAAAAAAAAACTTAAAAAAGTTACATCCACATTTTTTTTATTGTATTTTTTAACTCCTTATGACTTCAGAAAACACCTCCTAAAGTATTTATAACCAATTGTAAAAAATAAAAGTTAATTTTTCAAAAAATATTCAATTAATGTAAAAAGTCATTGACAAATTAAGTAAGTCTTTAAGGGGATGGTGGGGTCAAGCTTTTTGTTACGACCAGTAGAAACATTGGTGCTAATGTGTGTAACAGTGTCTGAAATAAAAAAAATGGTGGGGTTTTAATTTGCAAAAGAATTTTAGGTAATTTATGGATGGCCTCTAACGATACATATGTGACTGACCGCGACAAAAGGTACCTCAGCTCCATGTAAATACATGGGAGCTAAGGTCCGTTTTGTCCCGGACAGTCACATATAAGTTTAAACGCGTTTTTCTCAAAATAACGTTTTCTCAAATTGCGGACAGTTTATCTCTGAATCTACTGAACCGATTTTAATAAATAATAACTCGTTTTGTTTGTTAGCATGTCCTGTGTGACAATTTACCAGAAAATGGTCAAAAAATATAAAAAAACATTTTTGCAGACAAGAAAAATACTGAAAAACATAGTGTATTTTTAAACAAATTATTGAAACATATGCTTTTTTTATTTTAGTCGATTTTTCATTATTAGTGGTAGCTTTCTATACAAGACACCTTCCTTTTTCAAAAGCATTTTGGATTTTTTGTTTCCGATTTGTCAATCTTGAGATAAACCGTCCGCAATTGGACAACTAACTTTTTGGAGTTTCGATCTGAATGCTGTCTGCAGATTATGATATTAAATAAAAATTAAAAATAAACCATTATTTTTATTCTCCAAATATGTACTAATATAGGCAAAAAAGTTTTTTAAATATTTATAATAAAAGACCTAAGAAATTTTTTTTTTAATAATGATACTGTCATAATAATAATATATCATAATAATAATATATCAAATAAATGATACTGTCATTGCTAAACTGCTGCAGCAATAATGCCCATCTGTTAGCAACTAAAGTAAACTACCATAAGCAGTCTACATTATCAATAGCGCATGATTTGAAAAAATTATGCGGAGATAAGAAGCAATTGGCTGCCTCGTCCCGTTCTACTCTACGTTTAAATGAATAATATATACACATAACATTTTTCTACGAAAATTCTCCCAGTGTGTCCGAAACAATATGTACAGCCCTGAAAAAGTAGTTAGGGGGCGTGACGTAGGCAACCGTCAAAGTGAAGGATAGGAGAAGGGGAAATTTCGGGCTGATCCGTCATTGTGGAGGATTGACTGTATTTGGTTTTTTATGAAAATTGGTATTATTTATATTTTCTTGAGTTCGCTGCTCAAGAGGGACATACGAAGAACAGGCAGAAAACGTAGACGAAATCCTTTGCATAGGGGATTTGAAGAAAAGAAAACACGCTACAGCAGCAAAAAGGAAAACTAATAAAGAATTGAGCTTAGTTCTATCTAGTCTAAAATACCAAACAGCCCTTATAAGAGCTACAGGATGTACAAAATCCGCTCGTGCAACCTTCTCGTGGTATACATCGGATAATGCTAAAGCAGACGGCCATTCCTAATGTCAGCGAACTCAAGAACATACAAATACCAAGTTTCATAAAAATTCGCCAATTTTTTAAAAATTCGTCCGCCATATTGGATCCGCTATTTTGAATTTTATAAATCTGACGTTAAATTCGTAATCAGCGACCCCGAAAACTTCCGAGTAACAAGATTCAAGCAAATCTGTCATTATTTAAAAAATTTCTCCTGTCACTTTAAATCCGCTATGTTTTTTGAGGTTATGTCAAAATCCTGACGTGATGGAGCAAAACGGACTTCAGATTCGTGTTCAGCGCATCAAAATACAGTAGAACCCGGTTAATACGATTCTGTAGGAACCGCGCTAAGAATGCGTCTTATGCGGGTAAACGTATTAGGCGGGAAATAAAATGTATGTCTTTAATTGCAGAGACCACCATAAATGAGCGTTTTAAGCGGGAAATCGTATTAAACGGGATCGTATTAACCGGGTTCTACTGTACATAAAGAAACGGTGGTCTCATTCCCCGGCCCGGGTACTTTTTTGTGTGGCTATGATAATAAAAATTAAAAAATCATATGACAATATTTAATATGTTTGATTTAGCTTAGGGGTTGGTTTTGAGATAAGGATTTGGTAAAAAATTAAATATGGTAAGATGTTAAAAGATATTACAATTATTCAAAGATTAATTTTAGAAAATTGAAATTTTTTTAATTTAAATGATATTTTTAAACCCCTTAACTGCCGGCTGAAAAACACTAAATGAGTCCAGAATGCCAAGAATAAAAAATCGTCCAATTTGTCTGAAACAAGTTTCAGACAAATTAGAGTAACAAGTTACTCAAGGGTTTTCGGGGTCCCTGACTACGAATATGATGATGGTTTTTCAAAATTCAAAATGGCGGATCCAATATGGTGGACATTTTTTTTTAATTTTGGATTTGCTTGAAAATTATCATTAGGGGGTTTTCGGGGTTGCTGGTGATGAATCCGATGTCAGTTTTTAAAAATTTAAAATTGCGGATCCAATACGGTAGACATTTTTTTTTAATTTTGTATTCGCTTAAAACTTGTCACTCGGGGATTTTCGGGGTCGCTGATCACGATTTCTATGTCAGTTTTTCAAAATTCAAAATGGAGGATCCATTATGTCGGATATTTTTTTTTTTAATTTTGGATTTTCTTGAAAATTATCACTCGGGGGTTTTCGGGGTCACTGATGACGAATCGGATGTCTGTTTTTAAAAATTCAAAATGTCGGATCCAATATGACGGAAATTTTTTAAAAAAATTTTTGTTTTTATCATAAAAGCAGAACAAATTTTACAAATGCCGTTTTTATAGAACAGCTATAAAGAGAGTGCAAAAATTGAAATTCCATTGAAATGTCCTAACGCATTTCACCTTTCCAATAAGTTCATGGGTGAAGTGGATCTCTACGGTATGCCATATTGGATCCGCAATTTTAAATTTTGAAAAACTGACATCGGATTCGTCATCAGCGACACTGAAAACCCCCGAATGATAATTTTCAAGCGAATCCAAAATGTTTAAAAACAATGTCTGCCATATTGGATCCGCCATTTTGGATTTTGAAAAATTATCATCATATTCGTAATCAGCGACCCCGACAACCCCCGAGTAACAAATTTTAGGTAAATTGGATCAATTTTTAAAAAAGTCATCTGCTATATTGGATACGCCATTTTGGATTTTGAAAAATCATCATCATATTCGTAATCAGCGACACCGAAAACCACCGAGTAATAGATTTTAGGCGATTTTAGACATTTTTAAAATAAAAATGCATTGTATTGTCCATAAATCATTTTATTTTTAATTTTCAGCCATTTTTGACTTTTTTACATCAATTTTTAGTTTTCCGGCAGTCAGAGCAAAGTCCGAAATGGCGAAGATCTTTGCCATCGGCAGTCAAGGGGTTAAGTAAATCGAAATAGGGGTAGTTTTGGCTTTGAAAATTGGACCAGAAATATTAGTAAAGGTTTATTTAATGATCCTAATAACGTTTAAACAATTTTTGAATAAAAATTTCCTTGGTCTGTGGTTCGTTCATGGGTGCAAAATCTTATCGGATGATGTAATCAGCGACCCCAAAAACTCCCGAGTAACAAATTTTAGGCAATTTTAAACACATCTAAGGGTTTTGGCAATGTTTTTTGTAATCTGGCCTACTCTGCAGGGCACATAGTGGTATTTTTTTACAATTTACCGTTAAAAAATGTCTACAGCCTACAATTTTTAATTGATTGGAGTGTTCTTTGCTTTAAATTAAAGGAGAATAAATTCTTAAGGCATCCCTTGAGGCCGATTTTTGAAATTTTAACTGTTTATAATATTTATTGTTAACGAAAGTTTTTGAAACTTCTTACTCATAGTATACATCTTTTTATGGAAAAGTTCAAGAAATAGTTTACATAATGAATATGCACTAAGTTTGAAAAAAATGAAATTGGCAATCTTCTTTCCGACACTGGTTTTTAATTAATTCTGTATAATAAACAGTTATCCTGGCTTTTTTCTTTTTTGCTATTTAACAAATCTTGTACACTATTTTGATAACTTTAGAGAACAATGATAAGATGATGTTCATTTAATAATGGTTTGTTTTTAAGAAGCTTTACTAATAACCTTAATGTTTTTCGGAATGAATTACAGAGATGCTTTACTGACAAGTGTGATAAATAGTGCGACCTCTTTTGCGGCTGGATTCGTAATTTTTTCTGTTTTGGGATACATGGCACACGAAAGTGGAAAATCAATTCAAGAAGTGGCAACTGAAGGACCAGGACTAGTTTTCGTCGTTTACCCGGCAGCAATCGCAACTATGCCTGGTTCCATGTTTTGGGCTCTCATTTTCTTTTTGATGCTTCTTACTCTTGGTCTTGATAGTTCTGTAAGTTTTTTCCTTAAAAAATCTTTTTTTTAAAAAAACTACAGTTAGAACCAACCAAAGCTTAACATAGCATAACAATTCTTTTTGTTTATTTATTTATTTAATACATATCTCCGTAGTCCAAAGAGGACCATAAATGGATAACTAAAATAGTGCTATAGCAAAAAACAATTATTAAACTTTTAATTTCTAATTTCGCGCAATGACAGAACATATTTATTCAAATATTTACTAAATTCTAATTGAGACATTGTAAGCAAATCAATATCGAAACCGTCTACTTGATAAAGTTGATTGATATGAGAGCATGCACTAAAAATCGGGGTTCTGTTAATCAACTGTAAATCTTTTTTTGCTATATAAAACGGTTCACTACTACGAGACGAGATGCGAGGTAGTCTAAAATTAATCATGCTTAATAGCGTCGGACAATCAATGAAATACCTGATAATCTTAAAAATAAATAACACAACCGATATTATACGCCTTTCCTCCAAAGTTACATAATCAAAACGCTGACACAACATTAAATAATCACAGCCTCTGGGCGGGTATCTGCCGTCTTTTTTGAAAACTAAGAATTTAAGAAAACGCTTCTCAATATTATTAATCTGTTCCGAATACTTTTTAAAATAAGGAGACCATATTTCCGATGCATACTCCGCAGGGGATCTGACCATTGCATTAAATAATAGCGTAAAAGTTTTAATGTTCGAAAAATTTTTTGATGATCTCGTTAGAAAGCCGAGGCGTTTGTTGAGTGTAGTGACCATTGAAGAGATATGATCTTCAAAACTCAAATCATACGTAAAAGTTACTCCAAGGTCACATGTCGATGTCACTCTGGTAACAAGAATATTATCGATAGTGTAAGGAAAAAGAAAAGGGAAACCCGATTTATTGAAAGAAAGGATATGACATTTAGAATAATTTAGAGGAAGTTTATTATCAGTGCACCAGAGCGAGATCGCATGAAGATCGTCCTGCAAGGCAGTTGCATCGAAAATAGAATTAATACGACGAAATATTTTAAGGTCGTCAGCAAAGATAAGTGCACAAGATTGAATATTGTCAGTTATGTCGTTAATGTAAACTGTGAAAAGGGGTGATCCCAGAGAGGAACCCTGAGGTACGCCTCGTGTGGGGACGAAGGGAGGAGAAAGGTAGTTTCCCGAGGCTACTCTGTGGGATCGGTCCTTTAAGTAGTTGAGAATTAAAATTTTGAGATTTATCGGGATATTTAACAAATCAAATTTTTTGTTAAACTTCAATAAATATAATAAAGAGCCACAAACAAATTGTATATCACATTAATTATAGTTAAATTTTATATGATACCTTTCGGTTTTTTGCCAAAAAATAACAAGTAAATTATTTATAAAAATTAAATTTTACATCCAATTAGAAAATCCATATGTACTTCCAAAGTTTATAGTAAACAGTTTGTAAAATTTCTTTACTTTTTGTTTCAGGATTTATACTTTTCAAGAAACCTTTCTGGCCATTAAAAAAGTCGATTTTGAATATGAAATTCACCGCCGCAATTTTGTTATTAAATTATATATAAAAATTGTTTTTCTACACTTATTGAAGTGTATATTTAACAAACCCTAAAAAAATCCTATTCTATTTTAAATTTTATCAAAAGAAATTATCAAAGATATAGGTCTCTTTTTCTGACTCTAGAGTAGTGTTACTCCTTACTATCGGCTCAAAAAGAACAGGCTCCTGACTTTGAAAGCTCACAACGCAGGTAAAAAAATCATAGAGAGTTAAGACAAAGTGTAATACGTAGCTTAATTATCTAGTCGTTCATATACAAAAAAATTAATACCCAAAAAAAAATTAATTAATAAAAAAATTAAATAAAATTAAATAAATTAAATATGAATATATATATATATATATATATATATATATATATATATATATATATATATATATATGTATAGAGTGTACGTTGTCACCTCCAAAATAAATATACAGCATACGTTGCCGCCTCATATATAACGTTGTCACCTCCGAAATCGGAGGTGACAACGTTTTGCTGTTTTTTCAATGCAGAATGACTACTAATAGCCTTTGACATCGTTTGCCGAAAAAGTGTTCGGAGGTGACAAGAACCATTCTCTACCTACAATGTTGGTACCCTAGTTCGAGTGTATATCGCTGGCGCTAGAGTCGCCAATCTATGTGATATACCCTCGACGTTGTCACCTCTACTGTATATAATAACAAATTTGGATACAGCAGCAACGTTCTCGCCTCTAAAATTTGGCAACACTGTGAAAGAATTAAGTTTACTTGAAAGATATTTTTCACGAAACGAATTTTTGGAAGTGATATAAAGTATGTTTCACCCATTTTCAAATTTTCAGTCTATTATGTTTAAATAAGTAATTTTAATACAACAGTTAGATTTAGCAAACCCACAAAATTTTCATCTGCAAACAAATAAATATTAATACATTTAACATGAAAATCATTGATCTTGCATCATTCAAAACACTAAAAACTTAAATTTTATATTTTGCATAAATTTACAGAATTTAGTTTTTAAATTCTACAAAGTTTATTCATCTAATTTAAAAAGAACCACATGCGTTTATTTAATAAGTATAAAAATAACATTTTTTAGCCTTGCACAATTAAATTGGGAAGCGGTAAACTTCACAAGAAAGTATTTTATAATAAATATTAAATACTGTTTAACGCTCAGTTTCATTTCACATTGTAATAATTACATATTTTAACAATGTATAATTAAAAAACGCATAGGTAGATAAATTTGAAATTTTATCATTACATAAATTAGTAAATTCAAAAATTCATTAACTAAATGTGTTTATTGAATTCGCGGGGCGGTGTTCTTGAATATTTTTTATTTACAAAGTTGAGCATAAGAAATGAAATTTTTATGTAAAAAACGGTTCTTGAACATCGCCACTATTGTAAAATTCGCAATTTTTTGCTAAATCTAACTTACAGTGAAAATATTTTGAATAACAATTTCAAAAATAAGAATTTAAAAATTCTATTATGAACAACTTTAGAGCAAATGATTGCTCTTAAAATTGTCGAACAAAAAAATCCATTTTTTTATCGATTTTTGATGATTTGACAATACAAGCCTTTCTAATCGCCAATTCTAATAAATTTCCCATAAACTACATTGCAGCCAAATAAATTGGGTACAGCTATTCTGAGCAACACTACAAACAGAAAACATGAGACTTACGTACTTTATTATCAATAATAGGTGTAAACAAGAAGAAATTGAAATTGATTTTTAAAAAGTTTTTAAACAATATAGTCTCAAAAAATGCTCTTTACAAAGAAAATTTATAAGATTAATATTTATAATATTTATAATTATATTATTATTTTTAAGAAATCTATTTGATAAATGTTTTGATTTTCATAAATTTTACAATAATTTTCTTTTTCTTGAAAGTAGAAAGGTTCTTTGATACTTGCATCTGTCCGTTGTGGCGGACCTTTCGGCACATTTAGACTGGCGAGACTTTTCCTAATTGCTTTTTAATTTTGCTGTAATGGCTTTTTCGTAGCCTCAACATCTAAGGAGATGCAAAGACTGCTTATGGTCATTACTAAATGGTCATTCTATCGCGATCCGTGCTTGAAGTAACAAACAAACGTTTAGTGTCAAGTATATGTATAAAAAGTGCCAAGAAAAAATTATTCAAAACAATATGAATTTGTGAAAAAATTTCATGCTATTATGTGTGCATTATGTAACGAGAAATCGTATTTGTGAAGTGCCAAGGATCTTTATTTATTGTGATAAATATTTTCGGGAAAACATTAGACTACTATGCTTCGATTCATGTGAGAAATACTACGAAGAATTACAGTATTTTGCTGCCACAATGACTTCTCGGGCGCAAAAAATGCTGAACATGTGTAAAGTAAGTAAAATTTTTTAATATTTGCATTCAGAAAGAAATGAAATCACCTGTATGGAACTTCTTTTATTTTGTCGCAAGTTTTTCTATCACTTAAGTGTCAATCTTTATCAACTTAAAAACAAAATCTTTTAGACTGCATTAACTTTTTCTAATTCTATATTAAAAAGAAGAAATTACACATTTTTAGGGTTCCGTTCATGTAGTGAACCGCGACTGTTCCCTTATGGAATCACTTTTGGTATTTTGGCCCCCTAGCCAAACTCAGCCTTTCCAACCTAAAAAGCCTAAAATTGATACTAATACGTATTTTCACGTGTACATTCAACCTAAATCACAGAAAAAACTCAATTTTTGTTAAAAAATGTGTCTCCCCCCCCTTTGAGAGCATTCGCATATGATATCAGGCTGTAGACGGTACGGAGGGGGTCTTCCCAAAAAATAAATTTATGTTCTTTTTCCACATAAAATATCATAATATGGCGTTGCAAAAGGGGGTACGGGTACGAAATCTTGAAAAAATGTGTGATATCATGTCTTAACACTTCCTTTAACTTTTACAGTTTTTAACCTAAAGAGCTTAATTAGTGTACATACGTATTTTCATAAATAGATTTCACGATAAATATCGCGAACCGATTAGGAATAGATTTAAACCTTGTATTTTAAGAAAACTTCTTTTTTTTTAAAAACGCAGTTTTCCCATTAACTTTAACAATTTTAAAGTGCACGAATTGCAATTTGCTATACAAACGTATTTTTGCAAGTACACTACACGCAAAATTTAGCGGAACTAATTGGAATTACTCTTAATATCGTTTTTCAGACAAAACAGATTTGTCTAATGAAATGCGTTTTTTCCCTTTAACTTTTATAATTTTCAATATAAAGGGTTGTAATTTAGTACATATACCTAATTCTATTAGTGCATTGCAGGCAAAATACAACGGATCCGATTAGAATTAATCTAAATATTGTTTCTTTAAAAAAAATAATTTCTTTCATAAAAAGCTCTTTTGATTATTAATTTTTACAATTTAAGAGCTAAAAGTTGCAGTTTTATATACACACCTA